TGATGCTCTCTGCAAACTAACTCATGCATCACTCTTACCATACAGCTATTAGAAAACTCAACTCCCCCACCATAAACGTATATAATGCCCTTAAGTTTCTGTAACAGAAGATGATGATCTGCAGTATTTGCTCAGAGAGATCAAACTCCAAAATGTGTGAGGAAAACAGCTGAATAATCGGGAAGACTTCAATAGGAGCAACATATGCTCCTGGTGCTTCCTGCTGAGCTGCTGAAATGGCTTAGTTACAGATGCCGGCTTTCTGTGGAAACAACTCTGCTGCAAAGGTGGGGAGTTCTACCTAAGTCTGACAAACAGAGGATCATCATGCCTGAGCTGAAGAGTGGGAGACCACTTACAAATTACTATATTTTAGTTGTGATCGGGATTGGCCCACAGACACACTGAATTGAACACAATATTTGTCTTTGATTTCCTTTGCTTCCAAGTGCAGCTTAAGTAAAACTGTTTTGAGAGCCAAGTAATGGAGATAAATAATTTAGCAGTAAGTAAAAAAAAATGTGAATTGCCACTATGAAATAAAAATATATTACTAGTTATCCAAAATCTAGACTTGTAAAAACAGAAGGTATATTGGAAAAATACCCCAACTGTTGCAGAGATGGTCCAACTGTCTTCGAGCAGTAGCTCTGCACAAGCATATACAAAAAAGGCAGATAAAGAGAGGCAAATGGAATAAAAGCTGTTCATGAGAAAATATTCTAAGATCATTGCAATTGTTTCTCCCCTCTTCCACATTACTTGTCCTCCCATCATTATCCCAGGAATATTTCTCCCCTTATTCAAAGCACAGTCCATAAAAAAAATTTTAATAGCTATACAGGATGGAATTTAAAAAAAATATAGAAATAATCAGGAGAGATAATGTAGATTGCATTTATATAAATTTTTTTTCAATAATACTAAATGGAAACAGGTTTGTGAGACAGAAGGAATTGGATTGCTCTGAAATATTAGGAGAACTAGTGATTTTCAGAAATTGGGCAGTTAAATAAAAGGTATTGTTTTCCCTCTCTGTCACAAGTTACAAGACAGGTATATCCATTTGCTTTATTTAGAATGTTTTATGTTCCTTAGAAAAAAATTACTAGGATCTTTACTCTGATATTTTTCTACTGTCATAGACTTATATGCGTGCAGAAATGATTTCAACATGTGCTTTAAGATTGTCATTAAGTTTTCTAAAACTTGGATGAATTATGCAACATTTATCACACATCAGATTATTGTCCTTCTAGTAAGATCAGCAACTTAAGTTTTGATTGTTTTAAGATCCTTGTTCCTTTTTCGTAGGTGATACCATCACCCATACCTCAGCTATCTTACATTAATCTTTATTTACTTACTACTTGATCTTAAAATTTTAATGAAGATAAATTTAAATTTATGATTGTAAGGGCCTAATTTATCTTGATTACATTCCCTGAAAATCTCTCGATTCCCAATTCATGCCCATGGAATTGACAATACTACCTGCTTCACCTTCTTGCCCCTCAGACTTGTAGTCCCAGTCACATCTCTATCCACTTAATCCATGTTTCACCTTCCTACTGTTATGCTCCTTATCTTTCCCTGCATAGCTGAGTTACACAGTCCTGAGCAGGATACACATTTATTCCTGCAGCATAAGAAATACAGGATGAAAAGGGGAAATGGTGTGCAGGCATGGAGGCAATACCTCCAGCTTGCCACTCTTGCTGAGGAGCTGCAAGAGTATCTGTAGCAGCTCTTTCACATTTACAGGCTTTATGGAATCATTCCTTTGGCTTGCTTTTGTGTTTCTAAAAGAGGTTTCCAATGGATTGATCCAGGAACAGCTGACATTTCCTGGGCTACTGTCATTGCTCTCCTAGATCTTCTCAAGCCCACGATGATAGCATTAGTACTTATGTCTACACACTTTCTTCAGTTGGAGAAAGTCTTGACATCCTGCTGATGTCAGGTTTGCACTTTTCAACAGCTGGATTGGGAAACCAGCTGGAAAACATCATGGCACATTTTCCAGGATTTCTGTTGCTTTGGAGATCAGGAAGAGATGGTCAGGATCTGCTGAGCCCAGTTCTCATCTCTGCTCTTGACACTGTCAGACCATGGGTCTGCCAACTGCAGGTTTGAGACCTGGGAGTACCTTCTCACTCTTTCTAATAATGACACAGCTTAAGTAGTTTTCCAGAGGAAAAACTGTAGGATAAGCAACTGAAGTGATCATTAAGGAAGCATTAAAACATTTATTTGATGAGGTACAAATTTTTATGTTACTTCAAGTCACCAGTATTTGTAGAAACATGCCTTGTAGAGCTGAGAGTCAAGCTATAAATAAACAATTATTACTTGTAATACAAGTCTGAAGAAAAATTATTATCATGTCTTCCAATCAAGTAATATTATGTCTGTAGGAGCTGACCATATTTATGGTTTAGACAATATGCATCATTTTTTTTCTATACATAAACATCTATTTAGAGCGGTGCGGTGTAATTTAAGTTGATGAGTTCTTGTCATCCTTACAAATTGTTAGTTTAGATGTTTGAGAATTCCAGAAAGAGAAAATGAAAAGAAAAAAAAGCTTTTTTTTTGCTGTGATTTTTAGCTATGCAGAGACTCCTCTTGTCTATTGCATTCTGGGTTTGACTGATTTAATACTGTAATTCTGTGATGGCCCTTACCCCTTTGTATGTATAGAAACACATTCAGTCCCAATAAATGAGTTTTTTCCTCTGTAATTTATGTGATAAATTAATTTATAGTAGCATATCTGTAAAGAGTGAAGGTGAAATCTTATGCCATGGAAGAAATGTATGCAAAAATGCTTTATATGTATTTAAACTACAGTATAACATAGGGAAGAATAATTTTTTTCCCTTTAAAAGTCTGTATCACTTAGTACAGTATGCTTTCTTAAGTGTTTGTGACATTTAGTGTTTTATGACTTAGAATTTATTGCAGAAAATATTTCTGCTCTGTTTTTCACCAGCTCCCCACCTCTCAGCATACACATATATCCATTTCTGTGATGGGAATTATATTTATTTTGGTAATAAAAGTGGATCTCCTTTTAACTCCTCCTGTCCTGACCATCCTGTTTATATAACATGGAAGCTCTGGGAGTGCATCCATGTTACTGACTGCTCTATGGCTGCAGCAGTTCTGTAAACTCTGTCCTTCTCTTGTCCCTGAGTCCTTAACAAGGCAGGAACAATTAAAGTGGAGAGCATGAGCTCTACCCATCAGTTTCCAAATGAAATAAGTCAGTAAATTTGTAAACTAATTAAGCTTCATGTTTTCCATCCTTCATGTCTTCTTTTATGTCCGGGCAATGCACTGCAACTAATTGTGTAATTTTCAGCGTGTTCAAGGAAGGATTTTTTCTGTTTATTTATTTGCAGTACAGTTGTATTATTCATTAATTATTTGTCATTCATTAGAGAGCATATCTTAAAAGGTGTCTGTAAAGCAAATTGTACAAATCACAAAAATGATCTCTGCCTTATTTTTCAATTGTTTTTTAGCTTTTCAAGAATAGTGATTTTATGTTTTTTTAACTAATCCCTGAGGAGAAATAAGAGCACACCATGATTTTTCAAGGCTATATCTATCGCTTCCAGTGCTCAGAGGTGTTTAAATCACAAACCACTACTGCTTGTCAGATTACAGATTTGTTCATATGTTATTACTGTAGTGCAAGATGGAGGTACTGAAGTGCAGCAGACAAATAGGAGAAACGTTTCTGAGTATGCTCCCTGGCTTTTTTCCCTTGTCATATGGGCTTGCATAATTTGTCTAAAAAAAGGTCTTGTGTCCAGTATATTTTCAGGCACAAACAGTGTACTTTTATAAATTTGGACTCAGAAAAATTGATACCTTGAACTGATAAAATGATGTGTTTAGATATAAAAAAGAAACAATAAAAAAGAATATTGAGAGTTATTTTTTAAAACATGCATAAACTTTTGTCTCATTTCTATATAATCTTAAATAATATGATTGGATTATTTGCAAATTGAATGAGTTTATAACCTGGTAGATAACCTTGGTGTCTGTTCTATTCAGTGAGGCAAGAGAATTTTCAAAGTAGATTTCAGCAGGGCAAATTTCACATCAAGATTTGCCAATCACTTTTTCCCTGGAAAATGAAGACTTGAGCCTTTGAAATCAGCATCTGAACTTCTATATAGCACATGGGATTCATGTTGATTCTTTACTTAAAATATAATTTTTCTGATCTTTCTATTTAACAATTCCACTATGGAGTATCACCTATTAACATAAAACTTCCCTTGTACTTGGACATAGATGATGAATTTGGGCAATCCTGCAGAATAAAAATTATATGATGTATTGATTTGCTCTGCGCTCCCTCTAAAGGAGAAATGTCCCTGTAGGAAACAGCAAAGAGTACATGGCTGTCAACGTGAAGCATAATTCACTAGTAAATACAGGAAAACATTGTAGAATAAGCAGTTTTCACTATGGAGACAGATGGTCACATCACTTGGCAAGCATTCAGCTATTTTCCCTGAGATGTTTAAATAATGCTTATCAAACAATAGACAGGGACAAAAATCAAGGTAGCCTTAAATTTATCTAAAACAGAATGGCAGGCTGCTCTAGAACTGTCCCATGAATAAGAATAAACAACTTTTGCAATAAGGAGGAGAGAGAATTTTTCTATTGGGTTGTAGAAATACATATCTACATATCTTTTTCTTGTAATGAAATATTCTGTCCTCTTTCCTAGCCCAGAAATCAACATACTGTTTACATACCTGGCAGAGTGTACAATGATGAGAGGCAAAACCAGATGGCCATATTTCTCCTTGTCTTGTTTATTTAGATGATGGATAGACAAATCCTGACTTTACCTGTCAATCCAGCTGTAATTATTTACATTCCAGTGTGAAGTTTTGCATGCAAGTGCTCATGCAGGTGCACACTTGTGCACACACCAATAGAAGTAAACTCTTCTCTTTCTTCCACAGGCTTAGAAAGAATTGCGAGAGATTCAGCCTATGAACAAGAAGGAAAAGTTCAGTTTGTCATTGATGCAGTATATTCCATGGCCTATGCCCTGCACAACATGCATAAAGATCTCTGTCCTGGATATATTGGTCTGTGCCCAAGAATGAGCACAACTGACGGAAAAGAACTACTTAGCTACATCCGGGCAGTAAATTTTAATGGTAAGTTACATGTACTCTTTTTGAGCCCTTCTCTCCTTTAAATAAGTGTCACTTAAATAAGTGACAAGTTGGGTTTTATTCTCTATATAGGATACTTTAAGGCACAGTGGAAAACAGGATTAGAAGCAGTTCTCATTTTATAAGAACTGTGAGTTTTTCCACCTGCTCTGAAACCTCTAGTGTATTTTTCATCTTAACGTTTTTCATCCTAACATTAAGCTGCTCCCAAAAGAGGAAGATGTTAAAAATATGAATCTGTCGATCAAAATATTCCAGTGAAAAGCTGCTATTATGGAAACAAATTGAGGACTCATACAATCTTACTGATAGTGAGAAAATCATATGATAGTGGTTGCAAGAGGAAAAATTTAAGAAAATAACCTTTTGAAAATCTCCTTCTAAAATTAATTAATAATTTCCTACATAAATAGTGAAATTACTTTTGATTTATATATTTAAATTTTAATTAAAACTCTCACTAACAGTTCCAACTTCTTTTCCATTTAATTGTTTTTGACTCAGTAATTTAATGAGCTTTAACACAACTAAAATACATATTTTTAAACAACATTAATATTCTATGGAGCTGGGATCTGCCTGCTGGGAAAATGTTGTTACAGGTGCTTATGCTGTTAGCAGTAGAAGCCAATAACAAACAGGATTAATTGATGAATGTAAATTTGAAATATGTAGCACATACTTGATGTTGAAATAAAGTTGCCAAAACACGAAATTGTTTCATTAGAAGTCATAATTATTATAGAAAATATTTTCCATTATTTTACAATGAAATGGAATTATGTACTTTGTTCTGTTTTGGTTGGGATTTTTTTCCTTACTTGGTGGTAATTCATGCTCTACACATGCTTTCTAACTATTCAGAGAGCAGCACCCTTTGTCACAATTTATTCCAATGACCTCAGCTACAAGCGCTTTTGAAAAATACAAGGTCTTTTTGAATTTAACTACTGAGTGGAAGTTTTTTTGCTTTAGGTAATATACCAGACCACTTGGTTGATATGAACGTTGGTTATAGTTCACAGTTTTTTCTTCCTATGCAATTTTCATGAAAAGGGAATCCCTGCCTCCAGGAATATAAAGTTAAATGATTCTTTAGTGATTTTAAAGAACACCTGGAACATAGTACATTGCTGGAAAAGGAAATATTCTGATGATGACAAAGGTAGGCAGCATATTGTAAGGTTGGCAGTCATAATTACCTACATTTTCAGTAGATGTTTTTCTGGGTCTGTGTTGTTAAAGCACAAAGTGATCTATTTTCATTTGGTGAGCATGAAAGCTTAGCATAATAAGATAAGCTGTACATTTTTATATGAAAGCTTCCACTCCCTAGGTAATTATATTTCATCAATACCTGTCATGGTTTCTGTTGCTGACTCAAAGTATGGCAGTAAACGGAGATGAAAGCATTCTGGACACTAAGGAAAATGTATTTGATTTTGAAAGAGTGATTTACTGAAAGATAGGGGAAAAAAATCAAAGAAGACAAAGAAACATTTATGTTATATTAACTTTCTGCTCCATGGGATATATTTAATATTCCCTGTACTAGGCTTGTCCACATTATGTACCAGTGTACCAATTTTTTGGGTGTGTTATATGCCCAAACATTTTATTTTCTTAGTCATGCATTCAGAGGGATAAGAAGAAAAAGGTCTTAAACAGTTTGCCTTTTTCTATTAATCCACAACTCCTGTTCTTCAGGACAGCATTACTGCTGTGTCTGACAGAGGTGAATATTTTACATAGGCTACAAGACTTCTTGTGCTGGGAGTAAACAGTAATGCTGTGTGTCAGTTTTGATGTACATCCTAGCCTCTATCAGTAATAATGTCTTATATTAAAAATTAACTGATAAATGAAAGGAAAACCCTGGCTTTCTTAGCTATTCAAGATACCATTTTTCTACCCTATCAATCAGAGGATCACAGCCCATCTGAAGCTGTCAAGGACCTCCACCTACTCTAACCCAGTGCCTAGTCCAGGATCAGCATAATCAGGTTATTCAGGACCATGCCCAGCCAATGATTTTAAATAACTACAGGGGTGGAAACTCCTCCAAATTTCTCTGAGTAGTCAATTACAATATATAATCATATTCACAATTAAAAAAAAAATATATGTACACATACATATGCACCAAGAAGTAACTGGCATTTTTGAGACTGGCAGTTTTTTCCTTTTCTTCAATATTAATTTCTCCAGATGATCCTACCCTTACGCATATTAAACCAACTTCTCACCTCAATTCAATATATTCCTCTTCACTCATGTAGTAGGGAGCAGGTTCAAGAGCAGCTGACACATTCAACTTAATGGTTCTCACCTCAAAGTGTGATCTTTATTCTGAAGGACTACTGCTTGTCTTATGGAGGGTATTTGCAGGGGTGAGAAAACAGAGATTTTTCTGTTTATGAGCGTAACTGATTTGCTTTAGATTACAAGAAATCTCTTTGAAGGTAATTTATTTTTCTTTACTTAGTTTATTTTAATTTACAAATTTTGAAGATTTGCTTCCCTTAAGGATTCATCTGTGTAATATTCCATTACACCTTCATGACTGAAGGGTGACCATAACCAACAGTGCACATTGAACTAATATGATTGATAAGACATTTGTTTCTGCTTAGATATTCTTTCACTTGTATGCTAAATGCAGAAAAACTCCTAGTTCATAATGGTTTTAAATGGGATAGAACTTGATTGGTAATAGAAATGAAGAAATTTATTTGTACACAAGATGTGAGTTGCTGCTAACTGTAGATTCCTGTTTTACTGTTGCCTGTGTTTTTCACAGGGCAGCTAGGAAAGAACAGTCTCTAGACTCAATTCATTTTGATTTATAATGGTAATTTTAAAATTTTAATTTAATTTAACAGGAAAAGAAACTTCTAGCATGCAACTAGTACAGCTTATAACTGTGTACACCTGAAGTATTTTCAAATGAAAATAGAAAAGCAGTGTTCTAAGATATGGCATACTTAGTACTTGATGGTTACTTTTAGTAGATCATGACTCATCTTTTTTTGGTCAATGAATATGTTCTTTGATCAACTTTTGAAAGTTTCATGGTTCTGTTTATCTTTTTCCTAGGCGAAAAGTGAATATAATCATTGAAGATGTTCTTATTTTAATAATTTGCCACATTTGAAAGATTTTTCCTATTGCTCTTTGTATCCAAATGAGATATTTATGCAAAACTGGTGTTTCCTACTTAAAGTTTTGTAAAGCGAAGAGCTTTTATATTAATTAGATTTATAAATGGCGGTATGCACAATAGTGTAATTGTGGTATGATTCAATATGTTCTCCCATCACATTATTCTAGTGTTCTCATTCCATTTAACCTCATTATTCTGTCTACAAAAAAAGCAGGTGTTTTATAAGGGTTTTTACCCTGGCATGTGCTGAGTGCTTCATGAGAAGTGTTCTGTTGAATCAACATAAGTGCTCATCAGTTAGCAGGAACAGGACTTGAACATACATTTGCAGTAGATGGAAGTGTTTCAAAGGTGCTTTTGTTTTCATTTTAAGAAAAAGATTTATCTTTGTACTTCCTTCCAGGCAAAGAATTACAGCATAGATGCAGTGCTATTTCTTGGATAGGAATAAAACACTCTTCCCTCCACCTCTCTTGTTTGTGTTTGTCTCTCCTCCCTAGCTCTCTCTTTATAACCAGTGTAGGGTAGCTGGTTTTTTGCCCACCTTTAGTTATATATTTGTATTTATAGTTACACAATTTAGAACTTTTAGGGATATATGTAACTCTGTAACAAAATGTATTTACAGATATAACAATATGAGTTTTAAACGTATAAAGGCAAGGGTAGCACTTGACCTCTACTCACATACTTGAAAAGAGACATCTTATTTGCTTTGGTGGGCTACTTTTCCTGAGGAGTAATAGGGATACTTTTTAATTTGACTTTTTTATGCAAGCAGGGATAATGGAGAATGGAGCAGAGAATAGGTGGAAGCACTGACTCCCCTCTGCCATCAGTGCTTAGGTAAATGTTATCTGCCTCTTCAGGAGGTCACTGCAACATCACTTCCCTCTCATGGTGAAGAAAAGACTTGAAATATATTCTAAGTGTGCAGCATTTTCTTTGGTCTTCTCTGGACAAAGTACAGCAACTATGTTCCTTTCTCAGATTTTGTCACAAATCTACAATAACACTGGAACAGGCTGCCTAAAAAAAGTTATGGAATCTGCATCCTTGGAGACAGTCAAAACCTGGCAGGACACAGGCAGCCTCCTCTAGCTGAGCCTACTCTAAAAAGAGGGGTTGAACTAGATGATTTCCATAGTTCCCGGCCCACCTCAGTCTTGCTGGGATTCTATAATATTATCTGGACTTGAAAGAAAGAAAAATATTATCACCTAACCCCGCTTTACAATGCTTTAGTTTATTCTTCCAGAACTAATTTCATAGTCTGAGTGGACGAGAAAGCCTTGCTGTTATTTGTTTTATAGATATGTTAATTTAATGCCTTTAAGGAAAGATTAATTTTGGCTGAACACACAGAGACACACTGCAGCATTAACCCCGTTTAAAAAGGTAATATCAAAAAAAATTCATCCTGAAAGGGAAGAGTAATACCAGAGAATGAGAATAAAAGAACAGAAGCTAGCAGGCTAATTCAAAATAAGGTGTTGACTAAAATAAAAATTAATGATCATTCTACATTGGAATATTTTTTTTCCTGAGAAATAGCATTTATACAGAACATTTAAAGAAACCCCAGAAGAATGAGATTTTTCATAAAGAATTTTGAACCTGCTAGAGAATCATTATTGTGGAATCAGCCATTTACAAAATTAATCTTCTGCTATCTTGTGAAGTTGCTAAGGCATCAATCTATGCAGAACTCTCTTGACTTAATATTCAGCTCTTAATATTCAGACTGTTTTAAATGTTTTCTTCAAGAAAGCTTTATTCTTTCACTGAGTACAAAATTTGCATTCTCAAATAATTATTT